TCATGCGAACTATATGACTCATTCCTCAAACCGTAGAGCGGAAACGTACTTTCTCTTTAACTTGATGTACACAGCGCAGTTTTTAAAACTTGAATTCAAGAGTAGCAATCAGTAGGCTTCAAAATTATTCAGCAATTTAGAAGCTTTATAAAACCAAAAGATAACCTTTCATTTAGTATAAATTTTAACGAAGGCCTAGGTTCCAATCAAAAGGTACAAGACACTTTTTTCTTGTTTATGTATTCCATAAAACCTATTTGAATTTATAAAGGCAGTTAAAAGAAATGACAAAATGCATGTAACAGCCACTATTCACAGTATATGCGTTTTGATAGCGACCAGAACGAAGCTCGTAAAAAAGCTGGCATCCAATTTTGACTGAGGTGACTTCAGAATAGACTTCATGATAATCAGTATTACAACTATATTCAATGCCGATTATCGGCAGAGTACCAATCTATCGCATATGTGAGCCATAATGTACTCCCAGTTTACTCAAGGTCTGTAAATATACAGATATCCTCCCTAGTTCTTTAGCCACTAAGAGTTACTGAGGCCAACGTATTAGCATAAGCTACAGTCCAATTGCTTTTTCTGTTATGCTTCGGAAATATTAACTAATGTAGGTTCAAAGCTGAGGTTGTTTAAACATTTGGTAACACAAGGTTGGCACGCTAACGTTAATAACCTCAAGATTGTTATTAATGCTCATCCTTTTCTTTGTGCTCCTGCGATTGCTCTATGCTGAGAGGTTAGTTGTGAAGAGATAGGACGTGTCAAAAACCTAGTGAATGACCGACCTTAGAGCATAAATTATGCAGTCGCCGTTGCTTAGCGATGGTATTCACAGTCTTTTGCCTTCCGCGTGAGAATCCGTCAGCTTTGTCTTATTCTTGCCCATTGATCGCTCTCTTTTTCTTTCGTAGGTAGGCTACCAGGTAAGCATACGAGATTGAGTGAAGGCAGTTTGAATAAGTCCAATGACTCTTCTTTCGTTTGGAACAAAATAAAAGTCCATCGAGACTGACATTTTTTCCGTGGCCGTGATGCATATTCCGGTTTCGGCTGTCGGAATCACTGGTAGTGCTTATCTATCAGTAAGCTGTTTTCGAAACTCACCATATCCAAGATAAGCAATAGCAGATTTAAATTAATGATAAGGACAGTAATACGAACTGAAAATCCGACAGTCTGTCAGGGGCCTCTGATTTCGAATTAGTGATTAGCTTTCTTCAGGTTGTCACGTGCGCGTTATTAGTAGAAGTGTACTTTCTAACATACTAAGTGCTTTTCGCAGACAGAGGAAACTGTGTCTGGCAGAACTAATTTTCACGCCGTAAGCAAAAAGGAAAACGGAGGTTGAGTTTAAGAGCAAAATAAGACCCATGGATGTTCGTTAAAAAGTCAGAAATGAGTTGATTTTTTAGGTACAAAATTAAGATCGACAGTGGAGTTAAGATTAAATAAGCGGTTTTTCCTGTCGTAAAGGAAACTCTAATTTGCAATTCCGTTTGACCTGCAGGGATAGAACGAGCATGTTCATTGACTGAAAAATCCAGACGAGAGGCACAGTAAGATTAAAATCGCCATGCAGCGTCGCTTAACTGACTTATTGTGACATATATCCGTAACTAAAAATAAGCTGTTTTAGTTTGTTCCTTGTTGAGCCCTGTTTGATAATAGGTATATCATGTGATATGGTTTACCAAAGTCCCACATCAAATAAAGCACTCATCCTAAATGGTAGTAGCAAAACACCCGACAGCTTCATTGCCTCTTGGAATCGATCTCTGGTGCTGAAAACTGCAGAACGCCGTTAACAAATTTTAACTTTAAATAAATTTGAGCATTAATCAATGATGCCCAAAAACTGAGTTTTTCCTTTAGCAGTGTGTTTAATCAGCAAGGATACCTATGTCCTACTATATGCCCAAAATGGAACAAAAACATGTCGTAACCGTGCTGGAAATAGACAGAAAAAGTTTAGTCTGGGGGTATTAATACAATATTTTGGTATATTGGCGTAGGTTATACCGTGTTCCTTGTGAATGTCTAAGGATGCTAGAAGTTGCCGAATACAGCATAATTATAACAAATAGACACATTTCCCTGTTGATATGAGTTGGTTAAATGTCCTGCTTAGATTGAGAAGAAGTAGTTTCCATCACCGAATTCGTAGGTTTATTAGCCTGTGATTTCCAACTTTTGCGTGAGTCCATCGTTAGAGATGAAACCGTCACCGAAAGCGAGCAACATATACGGGGGGAACGGTATTCTTTAGTTTTAAGCACCAGAGATCGATTCCAAGAGGCAATGTGTCTATCGAGTGTCTTGCTACCACCATGTCGGATGAGTGCTGCATCGCATGTGGGTTTTTAGTATACCATATAAAATTATATACATATTATCAAACAATTCCGGTGATCGAAACTTCGTGTTCTCCATCTATTCGCATACCAGGGATGTGAACCTTTGCCTCAATTCGTTTAATCTCCTGCCGCTTCAAAACTTCGACATTTTAATGTTAGCTCAGTGAACAGTGTTTACTTTCAGAAAAACTGAAGCTCGCAGTGAAACAATTCTCCAATATGCTGACATCGCGATAGAGGGCGTCTTAAATTTGAAATAAATGTCATCGCTATTATGCATGCAATATTTAGTTTATTACCAATTTTTACTGTTTAATTTCTTCAAGAGCATTTCGAAAAACTAAACAGCTGCATATAACAACAAAATGGAACGCGATATGCATTTTGTTCTTGGTATGTTTTGAAAATGGGCGTTCGAAATATAAAACACACACGGTGGTATTAATTTTTTAAGTTAAAAAGCATCTTTTGCCTAGTGCAGACAGCAGAATTTAATGGTACTATTAATTTCGTGAGTGCTCTTCAACTTCGCCATCTTGCTGCGTGGCATGAATAACATATAAGAGAATAAAAAAAATGATTTTTTTACCAAAAAATCCATGCAAGCAGCAATCTCGTAGAAAATTGCGAAGAATCATAAGCAAAAATGTAAGCAAGTTGAAACACCGTGGGAAGAAACACTTGGCCAGCGAAATGTATAAATTGGGGAGCCGGATTTTACTAGATTAAATTTATGTGCAGTACGTGCTCGCTGATTTAAACGTCATGTTATAAACTTATGATAAAACTAGTATTTAATTCAGAAACATTAGTGTAGTTGTTTTGATAGTTCTCCCGAAAACCGATGAGCAAGTTCTATACGTGAATAAGGCGAGATCTGTGCTTATTTATAATAAGGCCGACAAAAGCGTCAGCATCTGTTTTTGGATAAAAGATGTATATTCTTACTGTGCTTCGTGTGTGTCTATAGGGTAAATATCAAACGCATTTTCGCCTATCCACTGGCTACAAAAGACATTGCTAATTAAAATACCTGAGACAAATTCTACCTGCCATTTTGGCATTTCCCACTGTTTAACTGTGGCCACACGCAAAAAACATGAAATGTGCAATTAACCTCGGTGGTAAAAGTCAGCCGCTTTAAACGAGCTCACTGTACTCTGATGGCAGTGGTCGGCGTTTTGGCAGATGCTTAAGCACCTTTCGTTCAGAGACAAGTTAAAAGGGAAAATTTTGAAATGCGTAAATGACAGATGCTTTGTGTGTGCAGCTAATCCAATGGTGACTTTGCCAGCTTCGGGTGTTCAGAAGAACATATTTACAAAAAAGAATAAAAAATGTTTGGAAAATTAGGATCTCAATTGTCCTATTTTAGAAAAAAAGTAGGCTAACGCAAAAAAATTCAATGGGGACCAAGTACATATATTTAAGATGCATAACTTGAAATTAGGATAAAACCAAACAATGTCACAAACAAATAAACAAATCCGATTGCACACTTCGCAGTCAGCAATAAAGAGGAAGGTTACCATATGTTGCCAAGAAGTGTATCTATGTGGAATAATGAGTCTAAACGGGAAAGGCATAGCTACTATGGACACTGGCTGTCGCTAATTAGCCATAAGAAACTCCCAACTTGCAGGGCCTAGGGTTCGAAGCCGGATGCGTTGGGCTCTGGGCGTTAAGCACAACCCGATAGAGGTAGCGTTCCACAATACTCACGTTTGTTGAAAATGTGTCCGCCAATCTAATCACTGAACATGCCCGTCCAGATTTTAATTAGACCTCACAATCAGTCTTTGACTTGCTGCATAATAACGCTAAATTTCAGGTCCGAATTACGTGCCCCGGAGACCCTTAACTTGGTACAGCCGGCTGACGAGGGTAATTTAACTAAAAAGCGAGAGCTCATGTCTGTTTTCCACCCTTGTAAATATTCTGAAACAGTAGGACTCCTTGTGCGACGATTTATGAGGAGTTAGACTGAAAGCAATTACCTAACGAGGAAAGTATACCCGAAAATACATATTCGAGGGCTCTTCTAACGCATACGCAGGTACAAACTTAAAGATCAAACACGTCTTTCACCATGTTTTAGCTGGCACATAAATAGGTAATACGATATAATGACTGTGATTTACATAATTTATACTAATTTTATTATCGCTTCTTTGTATAATTGGCAGTACACATTACAGTGCAACGTAGCTTAACGAGTTTAATCATTTCAGCATCGAGCTCATCATGTTAAATGCTTTATCTTGCGAACAGTACCCAATCAAACTGCAGCAGTTCAATGATTGGCTGCAGGTGACCGGGGACTCATGCCTTCCGATAAATTCTCACCAGCGGACACGGGTGTATACACACACGCACTGGCAACACGTTAACTAGGCCAAAGTTCGTAAATCGAAGGACATTTTCTTCTAGTTTATTTACAAAGACTCAAATTTTTACTAAAATGTCAGGCCTGATACTAAAAAGCCGTATTTTCAGTCACTTAACCACATTCTATGCATTTAAAAACTTCTGAATTTATTCCCTCGGATGATTTATCTCTATTGAATTGACCACGCATCCCTTTGAATAAATCGGCCTAACATTAAGCTAACTTGCGTGCTCTATTTATAGAAGAACCGCATGTGGAAAGTCAGGTAACCTCAACGAAGCCCTTTGTAAGCCGCCTCCCCGAGCTGACCGACTACGAGACAGAACACTTTCCGGAACCCATCCCACCCTCCCCCCTTCTGCCGCCGCTTAAAGAGACAGAGAGCACAAAACAGCAGCAGCAACAGCAACAGCGGCACTTCCTCCTTACCACCCTGCTTCCAATCTGCGCACTCATTATCCTCGTCCTACTGGTCACCCTGGTGGTAATTTGGTTCCTGAAGTTCCGCGGAGGCAGCAAGAAATCACAGCAGAAGGATGATGCAGCGGCCGCCAGCGAGGCACAAGAACCCCTAGCGATGACGGAGGATAGTTGGAACGGCAAAAAGAACGGCATTTCCAGCAAAATCGACACCAGTCATGATAAAACACGTGAGCCTTTCGTCTTTTATTCTCTAGTGCTGAGAGATTTGTTTTAATTATGCGCTGCACGCAACCTATGCCATCTGATCAAATCTAACTATTTTTATATCAAATAGGCTGTCTTGTATTAGTAGAGAAATGGCGAATAAAACCTCTTAGAAGTCTGCAATGCATATAGCGGCTGTGGAAAAGGAGATGATATTTGATAGGTACCAAATTCAGCACTCAAGATAAGGACCAAAACGGTGATCATGTTCTAATAGCTTAATGTGTATGTCAGGTACCAAAACATATAAAGCCTCCTATTTGTGTAACGACAGAATATTTCTTTTTCCGGGCAATAGTTTAAAGAACTATAGATCTAAAACACTAGATGACCTCCTAAAGAAATCGCTATGGGAGAAACTTAGCCCAACCTCCCTTGTGGCTTACGAAAAATACGAATCAGAGAGATATCGATAGGTTTTTTTTTGAAAATTCAATTTGAAAATTTTAGGCAAAAAACCTACTGTATTCACTATGAATAAAGTATAGAATCCACACAACACCGGAGAAACACAAGCAATTGGTGATGGCCAAATGCTGCACTTGTCGACATTGTGTGGCAGTGTCCTCTTAATATATCGAAAAAGTTAGGCCAAAATGGGATTCGCCAAATTTCCGCTAGCTTCGTGCGATGATGAACTCATTCTTATAGTTCAAGTAAATAATAAAAACAAAATGGTTTCTACTGAGCGTACTGGGCCAACCGATGTATATATAAGAAAAGTTACATGCGAATGGAGTGACCAAAGATGGCGGTTCAATTTCAAAAGCCCGCTTAATGGGCAAAATAACACAATCACCAAATCATTTTTTGGCCTAGTAGTCGTCATCAGCCAGCCATTACCAACCCCAGAATTTGCAAGCTGTAAGGTTTCCACTCCCGCCTTATTGATTGACCGCTCTCAAAACATTGCCACGTACCAATTGTTTTGTGGGTTGAGGTGGGGCCTTAAATTTCAAAAAGCACTAATGATATAGACAGGCTGACACTACCAGCAAAGAAAATGGGGACTGAAATGACCATTTCTGGCTTGTTGGTCCTCATCAGCCAGCCAGAAAAAAACTCCAGGTTTTGCGAGCCCTAAGCGTCCCATTTCCACCTTAGCAAACAGGTATGCAACAACCGACACTTTTTTCACGTGCTCGTTTTTGCTCGGTGCGCCCTTGTATTTCACATAGCATAGGCACTAAGAAATAGTGTTTAGAGGCAATAAAAGAATGACCTGAAAAATGAAAATACTCATTTTACAGGACAGTTTAGTGTACATTTTGGTGTTACTGGAATCAGCTTAAATGCTTTCTGAGAGAAAGGTTACTCAAGTTTTTGTAGAAACGCGCACAATCAGACGATCAGACCTCTTACGGAGTACAATTTACTTTTTTTAAACGCATTATGTTTATTAAAGTAAAATGAATTTCGTTGATCGGATTGTTGTCTTTTTGTAACGAAAACAGAGCCGACAATTACAGCGAAGCGTAGAAAAAATAATTGACAGTCAGCATTATACCACCATAGTCATCGTCATTTAGTTCGAATGCCTGTAAGCAAACAGATCTCGTTGCTATGCGACAGCGTGCGAACACCCTTCATTAAACCACAAAAACAGCAGGAGGAGAAATTCCTTTAAAGTGATATGCGAAGGTCAACATTCGACCTTAGGGATTATTCAGCACAAAGTTAATCGGAAGCTGGATCCATAAGTTTAGGAATATATACCTGCAAACGTCTTGACCCTTGAAATAACCGTACGTTTCTTGTAGACGCAGGTTAGTAAATTGAAAAGCATTTCCTTGCGTTGATGAACGTTCACCGCGCGCTAATGGAGATAACTTGTCCCGCTCCGTCTTGAATCCTATTTATCGGACCCTGATGGCAGCCGTCTTAGGCAGAAAGTATTGCCCGCAAAGAAAGGGGCGACTTCTGTCTACGGCAATGCTATCTGCCCAAGACTACTCGCGGCTAAGGCTGCCGTCAGGGCCCCAGAAATGAGACTCAGGGCAGACTGGAACAAGTGAGGTTCGTGAAAGGTCGGTAAACATTCATCAACGTGTTTCAGTTTCCCCATACTGGTAAGAAAAAGAGTTTGCGGCTCAATGGTAAGAGCGATAAACTCTGCTCGAAAAGGTTGCGGGTTCGAGCCTACAGTGAGGAAAAACTTGGGGTTGGACATGAATGGTCGACGACGGAGAAGCAGACATAAATATTCATTCCATTCTCCTTTGTTTCTGCCCACAATACTACCTGCTTAAGTGAATTATATATCAGTATCACCCAGTATTCTACTATAATGTTGTCATAATTACTTTACTAAATTATGCGAATTTTGACTGCGTAATATAATACTCTTTCGACTTAAGTTTCTTCCCGCCTGTGGACTTAGTGTAATGCTGGCAATCATGTTTTAGCTCCACGTTTTTCATATGTATACATTTGTTGTAGATAGTTTTATTAGATTGTATAGATGCTGCCTATTTCCTCTATGCCT